TGTGAAGACAGAATGTAATTGCTTTTTAATTATTTCTACTTTGATTATGAAAGACTACATTGCTAGTTAAATATAATATTGAATGTCATTCAGTATTGTACTGTATTTAGGCTGTGTCCATTCAAACCAAAGAGATTTTTTTTTGTCATAAGTGATAGAATTCCATTTTACTCAGCTGGTTTGAATGGTCTTTGACCTGCTAAGAGTTCCTGTACTGCTTGAAAAAAATCTTGAGCATAGTGCAATGCTTGTTCAAGCTATACAAAGCCATGAAGGCACAGTCCCTGCACTGGGGGGCTGCAGGAGAACTGGCACAAATGGCACAGAAAAACTGAACAATTAACAGTAGAACATGCCCTGCTCAGTCAGTGATGTTTAACTATTGCTTACCTAAAGGGTGTTCTTTGTAGCTTAACTGCTATCTAAAAAGCATATCTAAAAAGAACTCTCTGAGAGATTTTCCTGCTTTCTGCTCTGAAGTAACTGAGGTTAGGCTTTTGTAGTAGTGGGAGCCTGCACTTGGAGACAAACCTGCTCAGTAACCAAAATTTCCCTCCTCCCTCCCCCACTTTTTTATCTTTCTATTGTATGTTTTGTACTCATCTTTCTAGCTAAGGAAACCTTACTGGTCTCCAGTGTCATTTTAGCAGCTGGATTAGTTCCAAAGGGTTTAGGCTCTGGCAACCAGCACTTGAGTCTCTCAGCAAAACTCTGCTGACAGCCACAAAATATACAGCTGTGCCTCTCCAAACCACGATGTCATTCAGCCCAGCACTTGGCCAGCACTGGATTGCTTGTATCCTTCGTTGTTTGTGCAACTTTCCCATTATAACCTCTGTCAGTGGTGGGATCAGATGGCAATGATGACATTCTTGGCATAGCTTCTTTTTTCATATCCTTAGAAAAAAATAATCCCATAGTAGCACTTAATTCAGTTTCAGTATTGCCTTATTTGTCCTACTGGCTTGACGGCTCGTACTCCTCCTTCAGCTACTGTGACTACAACCAGGCAAATGTCACAGGGTGGTATTTGCTGTTACTTGAATAAAGTTACCCTTGACCTCTCATATTTGCCTTCTGTTGAAGATTTTATAAGGAAAATTTTAGTCCTGGTAAGGGAAGAAGTGGTGGGAACATGGAATTGCACAAATGCATGTATTGGCAAAACAGCGTGTGCTGATTAGTGCAGCTGGAGACAGAAACAACTCCATCAGGAACTGATCACACAGCACAGACCTGAACATGAACTGTTTTAAGGGACGGGCAGGTGTGAGCAACCTTTATTCATGGAGACACTGCCTAGAAAGCACAGAAAGCCTAGAAAGGGTGATGTCGAACTAATGGCAGTTAAACTGGAAATCTGTTGGGAACTGAAACTGTTTCTGACCTGTAAATGGTTGCACTTTATTATGATGCAATTCTTACAGTGGCAGACCTCAAAATTAAACCTTAATTCATTAAATCGTAGAAAACCAGTGCTTTGGACAGGCTGTGCAGCAGGCTCTTCAGACACTTGTTTGAATGAGAGAACACTGGAAAAATGTGTTCTTGCATCATACTTACAGAATTTCCTACTTGAGAACAGTGACATAATGATTTCTGAAAGCTTGTCTTGTCCTTTTCCAGAAAGGACAGTTTCTAGATGTGTTCGCCTTCTGAATTGCCAGGACTTTCAGTAGGCTGCTTCATTGTCTCCTCTGCTTTTTATTACAAGGAGGACCTTTCTAAGTCATTATCATATATCATTCCATTGTCACAAGAACTTGTAGTAGTTGTTCCTTTCTCCCTCCAACTTAATTCACGTGATACCCCCGATTTTCCAACACTGCCTTCCCAAGCAGTATATTCATGACTGAGTCCTCTTTAGGTGCATCATTTTCCTTTGACCAAAAATTACAGAAAAGAACAGACTTGGCAGTAGCTTTTCTCATATACTAGAGGTGAGGTGACTAAGAGAGTACGAGAGGATGGAACTGCACTGATACTAGAAACAAAACTGGGGATTCTGATTACTGAGACTGGTGGGAAAAAAAACCAAAAAGCAAACGCCTAACAAACAACATCTGGGGTTCAAATACTCACTGTCAGTTTTTGCAATATGAACTATCAGAGTTATCTGTTAGCATTGAACTTAATGTAAAGGGCAGGAGCTTGCTGATCAGAAGTGCTTTTTCTTATTTTCAGACTGTCTTGCATATATAATTTTCAGGCCCTTTAGCCCATGCTAGATGTCACCAAATCTACTTTTAGCAAGTTTTAGTTAGTTAATAATGATCTTAGACCAAAACATGGCCTTGCTGAAAGAACAAAGAGTGACTGGTATTTTTGCTTGTTTCTTTGCTTATTTGCCCAGGTAAATTATCCTCCTCTTAAATGCTTGCGCTTCATTATCTCCATATACATGTGACTGGGTCTGTGAGAGGTGTTCCAGGTGTTTCTCTGTGGCACTGTAACTCTTTGGGCAGCGTCCTGGGAGGGCAGTACAAGGTAATGGATGAACACAGAGGGTTAACAGGCCCTGCTGCGGCAGCCCCAGGGACGACTTCTCCAAGGGTTCAGCCAGGAGCTGGTGAGCTTTTCCTGGACCTGCGGCTGTTTGTGTTTCTCTGGGATACACAACAACTGCACAACACTTAAACAGGCATTTTTATGCATAAAAGTGTCAAATGAGAAATGTCATAGAATGAATTTTTTGTTTGTTTTTGGAGGAGAACCCTTGTAATGGGAACAAGCAGACTGCAAACATTCTTCCAGCTCTTACCAGCAGGTGTCACAGTACTGACAGCAAGGAAGAGAGAAGCATTTTTTTTAGTTTCTAATAATAAAAAGACAATAAAAACTTTAAATTTGCAGAAACAGCTGGAGAACTTGTATAGCCTGACTTTTCTAGTAGGTCAGTCTCTTCCAAAACAAGATTCATGGTACATACTAACCTTTGTAAAGTAAATATGCTATTTTTATTGCTTCTATATCTTAGTCTGGTTTGTTTGTTTGTTTGTTTTTTTCCATTTCCTTCTGCATGTAGCAGATGTTAACAAAGGTAACAGTAGGTTATGGTAAAATAATTCCTTTGTTAGAGAATCTCAGCAAATGACAATGCTTTTTGTAGATTAAGAATGATTGATAAACATTATCCTTTTACCAGACAGAATAAAATTCAGTGTTAACTTCCATTACTAAAGACAACTGTATGCAAAACTATGCAAGAATTTAAAGACATAAGAAATCCTATTTCATTTCCATGGCCTTTCATATATCCTAATACTTTACTCACTACAGCAATGGCTAGTTCCTGAATATCATTATTGTAAATCAGGTGAATCCAATGGAAAATAAGAGGTGAGGGGACTATTTGCAAAACAGCTCAATCCTCACCTAATTCACTCCAGTGGAGTAAGTGCTGGATTCAGAGCACACAGTGGTATTTTGAGTTAGGCAGGGAGAGTGATAGAAGTCCAGAAACAAGCAGAAGGAAGAAAAACAAAAGTAATGCCGTGGAATACTGAAAAGAAATACTGGCTACAATATGAAAATTAAAATGTCTTGATATCTGCCAGCATTGCCTTTGGGTTCAGGACCTAAATGAACAAACTTCTGGTTACTCTTCTAAAGGAACTGACATCTCTTCTCTCCTATCACCTGAGATACCAAAACAGTGTTTTGCAAGATACAGTGATGTTTTCACAATGCTTGGAATGAAGTCTCCTCTTTAACACAACAGCTTTGGGTGTCAGTGCTCAGCTCTGAAGGCCCTGTCGTGACTGCAGATTCTCTCCTCTCCCCTACCCCGTCAGTCTGAGTAAATCAGCCTTCAGCCTATTTGCTTCTAAGGACGACTTGAATTGACAGTAGAGCAGACACAGCCAGTCAATGGCTTATTGCTGGTGTCAGTGTGTGCTAATTATATACCAGGTAATCACACTAGAAAACATGTGAACAGCTTTCAAACTGCCGCTGCTATTTTTACTAAACCTCAGCTATAATTACTGCGCGTTCAGTCACTGGCACTTCAGCTGCCCCTTTCTGTTGTATTTATAGATAAAAAGCACTGGTGAGGGTAATGGGCCAGGACAGGCACTCAAAGGAGAAGCTAATCCTGCGCTGGCCGTGCTCTCCCAGGAGAGTGATCACTGTCCTCTTCTATCCTGGGTAGGTGGGAACTGGGAATCAAAGGCCGGAGCTTTTGCTTCCCTGTTGCGTTTGGAACACTTTCACATGTCACTGTGCCTAGGGATTCCACAGGTGAGTAAAAGGCGCTGTAGCAAAACTGCAAGGGAGATAAAAATCTTGTCAGTACCACTAATATCACTGAGATAAGGTACAGGTTTTAAGGCCTGACTCTACCGTACTTTCCCCAAAGGCATTTCCCTCAATACTACTTGATCAGCCAAGAATAGGCAAATAATTTAGACTTTGTAGGAATCTCACATTTATTTCAGAAACAGTTTAACTGCATCTTGCCTATGATAATATTCTTTCAGGAATGGAAATGACTGTTTATGATACACTCCCTGAATAATAATTTCTAGAATAATTTCTCAAAATAATCTTGTCATTTTCTAATTGAAATGATACTTGCAAATAGGAAAGCCATCAATATTGTGCAAACTGATACTCTGCCAGCACTGCTGATCACTTCTTTCTTACGTATGTAAAAGTTCAAAGTTGCTGACTCTATCTAAGTTGAGCCCCAAACTCTTATCATGTTGTTCAAAATCACCACTCTTCCAGGGGGAATATAAAATGTCCCTCATTTCGTGTCACAACGGAGCACAGCTGTTTACCACCACATCACAAACAGGGAGTTTCTTCTCATTGCATCTGGGTCTTCATTTTAAATAAATGACAATGCATTTCCATTACTTTTATTTATTTGAACACTATGATTTAAGAGCCTAAATGTAAGTTTTTCCCTTTATTTCTGCAAGTAGCACTGCAATCATAACTTACAAAAAAGTTTAAAATACAAAATGTACATGAAATTACAATACAAGGCTCTGTAAACATCTAGAACTTAATCTTTATTGTCCCACATTTTTAAATATAAAACTTCAATTTGAAAGATTTCCAAACCTCAAGGAATGACATCCATTATGAATATCAAAAATAGAGTTTCAAAGCTCTGTATCAGAACAAAACTATTACGTTCTTTTCATTCTTTGGTTTAAAAAGGGTGGCAGTTCCCCTGATAACAGATAAGTTTTACTACAGAAATTCAGATTGCTAGTTCATAGCAATTTCAGAACTCACCCTGCTCCCCCCGGATTAATATGCTACCCCTTAATTTTTTTTTAACATTGACCTTTGACCCTCTTTATAGAAAAGCTACTTCATCATTAAGGCTTTCCTTCAGGATGATCTAAATTATTTAAAATTTTTGGAAAACTACTCAGGGAGAATAGAGGACTTAAGGGCAAGGAAGTGGATGCCAACAAAATATCAACAGTTACCGGGTTCTGCTGTTTAATTAAATTTGCATAGTCAAATAGAGATCGTGTGCTTTTTATATAACTAAAATTATACAAGATTAACAGTCTTTACCTAGGTTATCACACAAGCTAAAATAAAATTAAGACCCTTGTACTGAAGCTTTTACAAGGCAAATACAAAACTGCTTTAGTATCCAAAGCTATTTTTTTAAATTTCATTTTTAAATAGGAAAGCATCTCTATGTCTACAGGCATCAAGGTATTTAAAGGCATCAGAAAATTTAGTGCATAGCAACTCCGGATTGTTTGGGCTCCTGTATTTTAGGTACAGTGTGAATTCCAGCTACTTGGAGAACTTGCAAGGAGAGTCTGTACCAGCAGGATAAAGGAGCATAAATCCCATCTAGCATGAAAAGCTTTTAAGTCAGAATTCTCCTACAAACAATGGTTAATGCGAAAGACCCAACACATGAATGAAAACTCGAACATGTCTTGCCACCAGCACACACTCTGAAGACAGATTACACAGTTTACAGTGTTGTGTGGTTTCTTTTGTTATTAAGGTGTTAAAAACACAAGTAGACGTATTTCTGAGCATATGAGTCCTTTGTAGGATCTTTAACGTGAGGACAAAGTAAAGCACCACTGCTGAGGACAATTACAATATCACACTTTTCACATTCCAGCCCTGCCAATTTTTTTCTGCAAATTTCAAGATTTGCACCACTGAACAGTACATTCACAAAATGGATGCTTAAGATTCCCAGCAGGTACATAGTGGCCTTGCACTAAGTTGTTTGAAATAATTATGAAACATCAAGATAGTAGCCTCAGGCTGCACTCTTAAAAGGAAGTTACGTGATAGAACTATAATTTCATCTGCTCAGCGTATGTCCTTTTTAAAAGTTCATGATTCAGCTATTACAGAGATGTGATTACAGCAATTGTAATGGTATTGCTTGGGCACTGACTTCAATTCAGGTGTAATGTTTTGCCTGCAAAAGGCTCAACGGAAAGTTTTCCCCATGACTGTTTGCCAAAATGCAACATCAGTAGAACCCGTGTTTACTCCTCCAGGCATTATAACTCAGCACTGCTTTTTCCTGTCAGACCACTCTAAATCTACAGAGAGGGGCATGTGCTCCCCATGTGTTCAACTGCTAAACTGTCCACAGTTGTCTGAACTGGATCCGATGCAGATATACTTTTTAATTTTCTAGTTCTTTGAGTTAATTCACTCAATTTTTGTTAGAGCATCATGGCTCACCCCAATGAGGAACTAAACTGACCATCGCGGATGTTCTGATGTTCCATATTATTTCCAGTCGTCCTTTGCTGTGACTGTTGTACCCTGTGTGTTCCATGGAGGAAAGCTCTGTAAATGAGTGCCTTTGGAGGCAGGGAAATGCGTGTGTTACAGGAAGTTTCAGATCCTCTCCAAGGTGTCTGATTGTAAAGGCCTGAGATTTTGAAATAACTATGTAAACAGACTGTTTCTAATTTATCAGATCATGTGGGTAAGGGAGATGCATCCTCAGAGCACAGCACAGAGTTCACTGCTGCCTTGGTGGATCTTGTGGATTTCTTTGGTAGCTTCTGCTTCACACCTTTACAATTCAACATGGACACTTTACACTACCGAACCACTAATTCACAGTTAATTATTTTTGAGCAAACTGACATATATAAATAGCCTAAATTTAAGGAACTGTAATTGTCATCTCCGTAGGACTTCCAAGTGGCATGATCAGGTACACAGCATATAAAATGTACAGATGTGATCAAATGATTTATTGCATCAAAAACTTCAATGCCACTAAACTGGTGATTTCAAAACCATATTCTGCAGGGAACATTTAGATCCTCAGCAAATATAAAATATTCTTCTGTTATCTAACATGGCTTTGATGTTGCTGTTCTTTAATCTAAAATCCTACTGCTCAAATTTGATTAAAAATGTAACTTTATAAGAAAAATGCTATTTCAAGAAGGAGCCTGTGCTAATAAAGATCAGGAAGATTATCCACAAAGTTATAAAAGTTAAATTTTGGAATGTAATTTCTATCCCAACACTTTCATGATGGAATGGTCTTTTTGCAGCCTATCAAGTAACATTTTCAGTTTATAAACAAGTGCAGATCTACATTTGGCTTTGCTTCCTATGAATCTAAGAAAGAAAACACTACAATATTCATATACACAATGGCTCTTCCATGGCACTGGCTTCAGATGACAGGTATGATTTGCCACTGGAAGATCTTACTAAAAAAAAAAATGGACAATAGAAGCTTTAAAGGCTTTCCAAAATGACCAAAAGGTGTTACAAATCATCAGTTACAAACTCTACTATCTCTAAGGGAAAGCAGCACACTGCAGATGTGCATTAAATCTTTTTCCACATTCAGTACTGTGAATATTATGAGCAAACTAACATCTCCACACATCTGAAGCACTTAGAATATAAAAGTATTCTATTTAAATGCAAAAAGCAAAGCTTGTTTGTAACTTTAAAACAGTTAAAATATCTGGTGTAGATTCTGTGTGTCCATTTTAAGAAGTCTCTTTACAGCATCTGAGGAACTACAGGTAAAATGCTCTGTCTCTACATCAAAAATGTAACCCACTAAAAGGGTTTTGCAAGGATCCACTGTTCCAGTTCAGAAAGGCCACAGAGTTGGAAGCACAGTAAGTCTAAAGAGGAAGAGGATGAAGAAATATTCAGAGAAACGGTGATGTTTTCAAGGATGTTTAGTCGTTAGCTTATCCATTACTGGATTCCATCAGATATTCTTGTCTCCAGAGATCCAGGACATGTACGTGCAGGCTGGCTGGCCACTGCTGTTCCATGTGACACTGAGATCTGTGACATATCTCTTCCTATGATCTCATTCACTATAAAAAAAAAAGAAGAAATATAAAAAAGTGACTGTTTTTATGCTTTCCAAAAGGCAGAAATCATCAGTATATCCCTTTTAAAAAGAAATATTGCACTGCTAAGCCTTGATGCTGTTAAGTAACAGATGAATGAGGAGCCTGGTTTCAGGAACAGGGGGGAGAAAAGGTTCTAGTTTCTCTTATTATTACACATGTACTTGCCATAATCCATGCTGGAGAATCCCTAATACCCTTGAAGAAAATAGGCTCATGAGTACTCATGATAAGCAGGTAACTGAAAGGCACAGCACAGGGCAGGTCAGTGCAGGTTTCCCCACAGAACTCCTGGTCAAGAGTGTTACAGGCACAACAAATAACTCTAAATAAACTCCTGGCTCTTTCAAGCAACTTACAGAACTTCCTCAGACGTGGATTTGCGTTAACAGAATATTCTTTTTAAATACTATATACCTGTTTGATGGGTCAGTTTTCTGAATCCTTGCATTTCTGAAGCTGCAGTAACTACATCTTCTTTTGTTATCAATTTTTCTGTAATAATTAAAATAGACTAATATGCAGGTCAGTCAGTTGGTGTGTCTGTGTGTGCATATGTGCCAAATTCAGCAAAGTGTAATCACCTAGTACTATTTAAAAGTAAAGGACGTCTCTGTGAATATGACAAACTAGCTCCTAAGTCATCAACAAATGAAAATGTTGGAGTCTTACTCTGAAGCTTAGATAACTGCTGCAAGACACTTGAGTTTGGAAGATAACAAAAATAATTATTTTAATGGATAAGTAAGTATAAAAGCCGTGATATATCACATTAAATAGTAATGACAAATTTTGAACAAATATTAGATTATAACCAAAATCTGAATAATTATTTAATTGGTAGAGGCAGTCAATCCTATTGTTTTCCAGGACTGAGTGGCAATAGGCTACAGTAACTCTTACTCAACAAGATTTTGAATTATGAATGCTGAATTATGCCTTTATTACTGGCATGAGTTTGCTTCTGTAAACAGGTATTTAATGGGACCCTTTTGTTAAGTAAGGGCCATTCTTAATAAAAAAAAAAAGAATGTTTTGCTCTGGTATAAAGGTGCTTCAGTATATTTGGAACAAGTGTATTTGGAACCCAGGCTTTTGTTATTTTGTTCTCCTTTGGGTAATTGTACAGAACAGTGTTGGTGTACTCTACACCCTTCGCCGTGCTTCCTTAATCTTCTGTAGCAGGATTTAGCTTCCTACTGACCATTCCTGTCTGGTAGAAGCATAATAAAATCAATGTACGTGTAGTGTAAATTGCTCCTGCTGCTTACAGTGTTCTCCAGCCTCAGCACTGCCTTTGGCAGCAGCAGGAGTATAAGTGGGTCCAAAAGAAAATGCAGTAATACTGTGAATACACAAGTTACACAAATCTGTGTAACTTAAATAAAATTCAACTCTGAAAAAAGGTTTTGTCATATTCTTTTAATTTACTTGGGAGAGCTTTAAAACCACCTCATGTCACAGAACCCATATGTAACCACGGAGGGAGCATTTGTTATCTAAGTGTCGATCACTGGCAATGGTTTTCTCCCGCATGAATGCAAGGACAGCTTGTTAAACACACGTTATTGCAGCTCCAAAGAAAGTTCAAACAGTTCAGGCCAGCTGTGTAAAAGCCAATTCCCTCAAGCATTACAAGATTTGCAATTTATTTGGTTTCAAAAAAACCTTTCATTCAATGAACTTAACTGGCATTATGACACTGAAAATTGTGATTGCAGGTAGGGCACTTTTCCAAGTATTTTTATTAGGTCAACACAATGCCATAAGTAAACATCTGCTAAAAAACAAGGCTTTTTGTTTTTTAAACAAAATCTAGATGTTGAGTTCGAAGAACTATGATCCATCAGATTCCGTCATTAGCTTGCTCTAAATGCAGGACTTCCAGCAGCTCCTGTCCACTGAATGCTACTGAGCAGTTGGTCTGTGCAAATTGAGTATCGCAGCTGTTCAGTACTGCTAAAATTTGATGACTGGTACAATAAAAACATTAAAAATAACTTTTTGAAGTTCAGTATTTTGAAATTATTAGACAGATACTTCCTGTAAGTTTTGATGGATGATGTGTACCTGTACTGGCACTATCAGCACCACCTGGTCTATACTGCTGCAATGTTTTGTGGTTCCCACAGGCAAAGGTGTTTAACTGAACAGCACGTAGCCACATGGCATTACAATTTCCTTAAAACACATATTACACTGAATACAGTAGCTGGTCATATGGGGTTTGATTTGCCAAACTTCTGCATAAGTCATTATGTATTAATGAGTATTGAAGTTCCTGGTTAGTTTGTGTTGTTTTGTTCTAAATAATCATTGATTTGTTTTTTAAGAAGCTGTCTTGTAGCACAGTGCTTTTTCTGGCAATGCTTTTACCATGTGGGGAATACAGATTTATCTGGTTTACATGGATTTACATTAGAAGCATCTACCATTTCTTAGGGAAATGCAGGATCTTGTCTTCATCCCAGCAGAGAATTCTAATGAAGAAGTCTTACTTCCAGTGGCATTGTCAGGATTGCTAATTTATAATCCCAATGAGTATTCAAGTGCACTTTTTAAAAAAATTAGTATCTAACTCAGTGTTCTATCAGAGCACCATGTAGACCTCAAGAAAAGGCCAGAATGCTTTTACTGCTGTGTCTGGCCAAGGTGTTTTCTCCCAGACCACTGTCCCAACTAACACATCTTCCTATTTTATACTTTCCAGGAGTGTCCAGTTCAGCCATCGGCAACTCTGTGAGCAACAAATGGATTGGGGAGCTTGCAGACTCCAGAAGACTGTACATTGACTAGATGAGATAGAAGTGATGGCATAAAGTAGTTTAAAATGCAAATCATGAAGTCAGTAAGAAGAGATAAAATCCTGCACAGAAATGTACAAGGCTGAAGGTGAAACCATACAGTATTTTCCTTTTTGTATTAATTTGTGATGGAGAAAATTGTATTAAAGACTAAAACAGAAATCCAAAGGTTAGTA